AAATAGAATAGGATAGGAATGTGTAAGAGTTTAATTCAACCCAACATTTCCTTAAGTGTTACCCTCTTCCTTGACGACTCCAGGACCTCCCAACACTCCGGCGAATTACGAGTTAAGCCAGGACAGTGACGCAAGCTATGATAAGTTTATGAGATTTCTTGAAATAACAAGATGGTGGCAGCATACTAAACGGGGTGACAGAGCGGGATATTTCCACGCCCTCTGTCATCACGGCAGAAGATAGGTGTAGCGGCGGCTTAAGAGAGGTACAGCGGTGGAAGCGGTGGAGGTACCTCCACGCCCCCTTCACGCCATAACAATAATACACACTTAATTTCTTCAAGAAATCACAGGGACACACTTTTGAAAAAATCTACTTATACCTTCTAAAACCTCTATTCCATCACAGGCAACTATATGTGAATCTCTTAAACAGCTTCATCATTGAGCTCATCAAGTGCTGCATCCGAGATGAGCAAGATTGTTAATTGTTACTACAAAGAAATATTCGCAAAAAAAATGCATTGATATTGAACTAATAACATTTCTGATCTGCTAGACTGGCATATGTTGCACCAGGTACAGCTAGTGTATACAGATTATAGCAGCAGCACATGTAGAGAGGGGTGGGGTGACTCCATTCAAACTAACAATGGCAGCACATACTCGTACACCTCACAAAAAATTATTCCACACAGAATTTAACACAATTATGCAGTAACTTACCATTTGGGGTTCTTCATTCCTAACTGGTTAAGAATGTCAACACGCACCCGAGGTGTTGCTGTTGCTGTTAAAGCTATGGTTTTAACAGTAGGAAATCGCTGTCTCAGCAAGTTCAGTTTCTTGTAATCTGGCCTAGTCAACAAAAATGATTTCATAAAAAGTATCTGAGACGGGGATGAACAAGACTGTTTACTGTGTTTAAAATAAACAAATAACATGCATTTATACTTAATTAATAATGTTTCAGATTTGTTTGTCATGTTAGCCAAGCGGTCTAAGGCATGCACTGTTTTCGCTTGCTCAGAAGCCGGGATCCTGGGTTCAAATCCCACTCAGAGCATGGATATTTAGTGCATGTGTGTGTGTGCGCGCACACGCACACATTTTCCTGTGTTTGTGTACAGGTTGAGGCCTTGCAATGAGCTGATCACCTGCCCATGGAGTCTTACTGAACATCTAAAATCTAGTAAACCAAAGTGAAACAGAGAGTTTCATGGACATAGGCCAAGACCCAAATTGGGACTGTAGTGCCAAAAGGGGGGGGGGTCTTGTAGAAAAGAATGTTGCACCAGGTACAGCAAATTTACCAAACTATATTCAGAAGTGTAAATGCAGTAGTCCCTGTTGTCCAGTTTGGACTAAATTTACATCCATTCCATACTTTATGAAAATTTACACCACTAAATTTCAACAATAATCTTTTGGTCTAAAGCAGTTTACTAAAAGCATTAGCTGACAGTGTCATTCACTGCAACCAAACTGTACCATTACATAGGCTCTGTAACATTCAACTTCCATACCTGAAATCATGCCCCCACTGAGAGACACAATGGGCTTCATCAATCACAAAGCGAGCAAGTTTCCGTCTGTCATACAGACTGCTGAGGGCATCCATTAACTTGTTGCTGGCACTTAGCTTTTCAGGGGTCACATAAAGGAGTTTTAGGCCTGAAAAATGAATTACAACAAAAATCTCATTACTTCAATATCAGCTATTATGCAATTGTAAATCCATAAACAAGTGGCCACAACTTTATATACTTTCTCTTGCAAATAATTTAAACTTCAATTAATTTGTAATTCAAAGCATCAACCAAGTCCGATGAATGGCCTGCCATTGCTTGAGTGGTAAGTTACTGGCTCGTCATCATGAAGATGCAGGTTCAATCCCAGGGTAGTCTATGTGGGATGTATGGTGAATGAAGTGGCAATGGGACAGGTTTTACTAAACATTTAAGTTCCCCATGTCCATTTTCATTCCATCAACGTTCCATACCCGTCTGTAATCAGGGGGTGGCAAAAAAAAACCTATTTTGGGCTTAAGTCAAGTGATTCAGTCTCATCCAAGCTCCTCTGACGACAGGAATGAAAGGTCTCAAAAGTCCTGAACATTTGAGTAATCTGATTTAAAAACACGTATTGAATGAGTGGCAGTACTTTCAGTCTATGCTGCCCTCAGTACATATGGATAGCAACAGTTAAATCATAGACATTCTATATTAACATATAGTGATAACTTGAAATGAGTTAAAAAAATGTTTCAAATGTTAAACTGAACTGCGTCATATCAGAAAAATCTCTGCAATCATACCTGGTTCCCGTTTGCTTAGCTCTGTATAAATTCCATGTTCCTGACGTGCCGTGGTTTCACCTGACATATGGGCAGCTGGAATCTTAAGTGAAGAAAAAATATTACCCACTATGCAAATAGCGTGTTACATTTACAAAAAATCAAAATAAGAATGTACTAATGAAATCTTCCCCCCCCCGCCAAATGTTCTTGCATGAAAATTATTAAGGCCATTTCTCTCTGAATTAGTTTTTTTATACTTTTAAATCCTTATGGAATTCAGTACCATTAACAGTACTTTAAAATTACCTGTTGTTATTCTGTGTGACAATTTTCAAATGTTAAGGTTATAGCATACAAGCTTTCATAACTGTGTACAGGATGTTATGTCATGTGACAATCACTTTCTTAAAAGAAGTCACAAATATTCCTGAAAAAGAATTATACATACATCTAAAGAGTTCAATTTCTGCACTTGATCCAAGATGAGAGATTTTAATGGTGAGATGACTATGGTGATCCCAGGTGTTATAAGAGCTGGAAGTTGGTAGCACAGAGATTTACCACCACCCGTTGGCATCAGGACAAAACAATCAAATCCAAGCAATGCGGCATTTATTGCTTGAAGCTGATTTGGCCGAAATTCATGTAGACCAAACTTCAGTCTAAATACCTAGCACAGAAGCAAAGAAAAGTGTAACTTACAATAACTGCAGCATTTTCACAAAATTATATTAGAGACTGCAATACTCACAGCATGCCACAACCCATTCTTTTAAAAAAAATTATATGACATGAAAGACATTTAGCATGTGATTTCGCCCATAGTAACAGTGCATACGCGAACATTCAAGAATAAAGATCCATACAACAGTTTTCAAGTACTGTGATTAAAAAAGGACCCCTAAAATCTAAAATCTAGAGATACAGAATTAATGTTTAATTTCATAATACATGAAATATGTAGTTTAGCAATTAAAGTTTAATGTGGCGACTCAGTATTTACAGTATAGCAAGTGAGAACTGTTCCATTTCAGTCATGAGTGACAGCCAATGGAAAGCTTGATGAAACATTCTTTTTCACCTCACTTTTTACTGTTACCATATTTTGACTGACTTCATTAGCTTTCTTTTTGTTAAAATACAATCTCACATTTTTGAGACGAGATATATAAGTTACATGGTGAGACAAGGAACAGATACAGAATATTAGTGGGAAAGCTACTTGGAGGGCAGGTACTTAGACAACTAAGGTCAAGATGAGAGAATAACACTGAATGGGATCTTCAGGAAAGCCAAATTTGATTGTGCTGTATTGAGCTGTTTTAGAAGACTAAGGTCAAGATGAGAGAATAACATTGAATGGGATCTTCAGGAAAGCCAAATTTGATTGTGCTGTCTTTAACTTCCCCCCCCTTTCCTCGGATGGCTCAAGCATAGCACCTTCTGGCCCAGGACCATCTCCCCCTTCATCCCCCCATGGGATCTGATTTGTCACTCCTTTACCACTGTCTCATCATCCCTTTTTAGAACATAATTTCCCCTTCTTCAAATGTTTGGAAAGCAAGACCTCCTTTAGTGCAGGAGGAGATAGGAGACTAGTCCGTTGCTTACCATTGGTCAACAAAGTGGGCAAACAAAATTCCATTTTAATCTGGTCTCTCCAAATTGTGTTTAAATTCTTCACTATGGTTATGGAGGGCAAGAAGCCTCCTTGTTGCAAAGGGAATGTAAGCTTTTTGTGGGGGATGCTGTGATGAGGTTTTCTGTTTGGTATTAAATTAACAGTTGTTTGGGTTTGCTATTGCCCCATCCAAAATTATTGTTATGACCACATAATTGGGTAGCATTGCAATCTGGGTTGTTGCCAATGTTACATGTGTTTTGGTGCTTTTCTAGGTCTGGGGTAAGCAGACGGAACTGAGTGAATACTTTACGGTATCTGGTTTTCCATCTGGACCAAACAAGGTGGTTTAAGTCATAGTTTTGCAGCTGTTGCAATGCATATTTGTATTAGTGAAAAAACTGTCAGATACACAATTATTTTCTTATTATTCTGAGTTGTATATCATGAATTTATGTTTTATAATTATTAAATACTTCTTTAGTTTGAGATTCTGACTTTTCTTGCCAAAGACTTAAGCCTGGACACCCAATTCCATCTGGGGAGCACTGTGAACATAACAATGGAATCAGGGATGAATGCAGCTACTATTCCCAAGTAGAGAGTAGGCAGAAGTAGCGAGAAGCTGCTAAGTTTTAAGACAGCAATATGGTATAAGGTTTTTTTTCATGATAAAACATTTGGTTCTAACAACAGAGGGTTAAAGGGTTGGTTAGAATTTCCTTACATAACTCTCATAAGAAAACAATCACCTTACATATAAAATATTTCTTCACAGTTTTCTCTGTTCCTTTGTCTCTGGGTGATCACTATGCAATTAGGTTTTATAGTGCAAATGTGATCAGTGTATATTTTCTCACTGATAACAACTGCTTACTGATTATTCATAACTAATGAATGTCCACCAATATTCAAGTGTTTGGCAATGGTATAATGCATCAAGTGATCACTATATTACACCATGTCAGAACATTGGTCAATAGGAATATATATTCATAAGACTGTAATAATAAATTAACACTTTCAGTACAAAATTTACTAGTACCTTAACCATCTCTCTGCTATGCGGATAATCATTACCATCAAATTCACCAGTTATACCATCATTCTTTATGTTACTGTGGAACGATCCTATTCCAGAAGCAGAGGGAACAACTGGCATTGACCTGGGTTTGCTGTTACTAGCACTGTGCATGTTGTAAATTGAAGATGCGTAACTGACAGGCTCTCCCTGTTCATCAACTGATTTGGTACCAGGATCTACAACACATATGACCACATGCATCTGGAGGCAGAATATTGAATTCTTTTAAACATAACAGTATATTCATGGCGCATGCACGCACGCACACACGCAAGCATGAAAGAATGTCCTCCGCAGTAAATATGCAAAGCTTCCAATGACATTTCCTACTAAACATCCAAAAGATTCTACTTCTTTTAATATCCTGATATGATCCCTAAAAGCCAGAATAATGGAGTGTGAGAAGTGTTGTAGAGGCGTCCACTGCTATGTAACAACTTGTTACAAACACGTTCCTACTGCAATAAACACACAACAGCTATTTAAGGAGCGCCAGTGAGACTCAGACTGGAGATGTCAAGCAGAGAAACATTACTGATGGTCATAAACAAGCAACGGGTATGTGAAGATACAGCAGACCAGAAAGACCTGGAATGTGCCATTGTTATTTGCAGACTGTGAAGAATAAAAGAGCTGTAATTATCTGTGGATAGAATTAATAACTATCCAATAAATTCAGCCTTCAATCTAAACCCTGTGTCTAGTCACTAACCAGTGACAACTGGTGTAAGAAGCGCTGGTTTGGACTGAATCAGATTCCAGAGTAGAAATGGGTCCTGCATTGTAGCTGATTCTGCATACATCCATGAGCAGTTTTGAATATCTGTTAACCAAGATGAGACCCAACATAAAGGACACGAAGGCTGTAATTACTGACAACTAAGAAAAGGTGGAGGTCACATTGGGTGCATCTCATCCCCACCAAAGGAGGGCAGCCAGCATAAGATGACCAAAATTATGGTCAGCCAAGAGAAGATGAAAGCCACGAGCTCCATGTTCAGTTTGAATTCAAAGAGACAATCAACAAACAAGTGGTGGACGTCCTGGCAAGTGCTGACCAACAGACTAAAAACGTCCATGAGGACTTCAATGCGGAAATTCAACAGACATGACTAGACATACAAGAGATGATGCTGAGAGGGTTCACATGAAGGAATTCAAAACGTAACTGGTAGAGCTAAAATACTGAGGGGTGCTTGGAGTTTGCAGGAACATGTCAGCTAGAGCAGATAGCATAATTTTTATTGCACTTTAAAATAAAAACGAAATTAAAAAAAAATGAATTTGCAGCGAGTTTTGTAAACAGTGCTAAGTGAGCTTACATGATATGGGTAAGTCCAATTTAACAGGAGAAGATGCCAACTCTTCCACCTGAGCAGGCACTTGCAAAAATATTCACTATATTATTTGAATGAAACCAATCCTTAAAACAAGAAACCAATAACAAATTATGTGTAACACTTCATGCTACCAAAATGAAGGCTCACATTATGAAATACATTGAGTTTCTTTTGCAAAAATTTGAGAAAGAAATGTCCCTATGGTATCTGGACGAATGTCGTGTATCCAGTTCCTCTTCTCAAAGCACAACATACAGAAACAGTGATATGTTTACAGTAAATGTTCTGTGAACAGCACTAACACTTTCCAAGTTATAACTTTCAAGGCCATTTTTATATATCCTGTTGCATATGTGGATTTAAAGCTTACTCATAAGAGGTTAAACAGTTCAAAAATTTTTCTTATTTCAATCCTTCATCCCTTACATTGAAATAAGAAAACTCTTTACTAGTCACACTGGACGGAACTGTTTAACCTCTTATGATATTGTTAGTGTAACAGACCAGAATGAAATAAATCAAATTTAAAACTTACTCTTCTGTAATGGATTATGAAACCGCAAATCCTGAACCTGTGTCATTTCTTCTATGATGGGAATATCATCATCACTCAGCCAATTTTCAGTCCCATCTTCAATATACTGTGAAGATTCAATTTCTTTGGAATGTAAGGATAGATTACCTATAACAATAACCAAGTTTTATGAAGAGAACATAATAAAAACACAATTAATTGAATGCATTCAAGCAATAGTCACACGCATAATAACTAATAATTTTTACAAGCAATTTCTTAGTGTAAGTCTTCAACAATAAAATTGCAACATGATGACATTTCAATGCACATAAAAACATGAAATTCAGAGACAGGGGCAAATATAAAACAAAACATAATTAATTTAAAGTATTATACAATGGATGATCAGGGTTTGATTCCTAGCAGGAGCAAGATATTTCATCTCTGCAGCATCCAGACTAGCTCTGGGGCCCATCCAGCCTCCTACACAATGGGTATCCAAAGCTCTTTCCCCAGGGGTGAACCAGCTGGGGTGTGAAGCTGACCATTCACGTCCATCTAGTGCTAAGATAAGAAATGCAAAATTATATCCACTCCCCCATACATCTTTGTGGAGTGGTGCTAAATTAGTTAAGCATACACACAGCTTTATCTCTTCCTTTACCTTTATACTAGTATATTGATTTGCAGAATGAGATATAGGCACCATTTTACAATGAAAACCAAATACAAATGTCATAAATCGATTGGCTATCCAACTACTTCATGACGTTTAACCTTTATCGGACGAATGTCATCATACGATGTCGTTAAAAGTTAGGGCAGCTGGCCGAACGTCATCATATGATGTCGCGGATTCCACGCGTGTAAGGTTTTTTTTAATATTATATTAAAAATATAAATTGTTGTTCTATTTGCATGATTTTTGGTCACCACCTTTATAATGAGACAGCCTTCATTCCTGCATGATCAAATGTAATCTAGGGACGTCATATGACGTTAAAAGTNTTTTTTACAGATATTAAAATCTGTAAATTAGAATATCTGATTCTATATTCTTTCTACATTAAAGGAGCGTTCATTTCGTTCGTTTATCATAAAAAATGTAGAAATCACACCATTTTTAGAAACATGCTTACAATTTCATTGCTCTAGAAGGGCGGGCATTTAAATAAACTCCGTCCAGCTGCCCCTACTGGAAATTAAATGGCCCGTCCGATAAAGGTTAATCACTGAGATTTTATATTGTCAAATGAGCTATAACGTGTCTGAGTTTCTGTACACCACACTCCTAATATGCGGGAATTGTGAAATATGAATCAGGATGGATATGGAAGTTAATGGTCATAAGCTATATATTTACTGTCTCATCTAGTCATTCCTGGCAGTGGAGCTGAAAAGCATGACATCCTGATCATTCAACAGATAATACCATTTTTTGGAGGTCATGTTCCTTATAAATTTGGGTTCCAATTTCTAAGAGTTGTTATCAACATGAGATAATTTAAAGTAACTATTTTGTGTGTGTGTGTGTGTGTGTGCATGTGTGTATGTGAAACAAAGGAAAGCCTGTGACTATATTCTGACTGAATGGGGTTAGGTGATGGTTAAGCAACCAATCTCTCGGTTACAATAGCAGATCTGCCACCTAAAAGGACACATTTTCAAGTTGGGACTGACAGATAACCCAACCTGTGAAAGGTGCCTACAAGAAAACGACTCAGCCACACACATAGCTTATTTAAGATTTTGTCACTTGGGTCAGTTTTTTATGGAACCAAGTGACTTTTATGATGCTCCCATAAGCAGGGTNCAACTCCTCCCCGCGACTGCATCCGTTCTGCGGTGGTATGACTCACGGCAAATTGCAGCCGCGGCGCGCACTTGATTGTACGCACTGTATTACCAGTTTTGTAGATGAACATTAAAATATGCTTCACGAGGCAAATATTCAAGTTTTATTGAATCTTCAAATTAAAGAAAATATTAGAGAAGTCTTCACTTACGACTATGAGGTGTGGTTGACTGTGCTTCAATCAAAGGATAGTTGAAACCTGTTATCCACTGATTAGCTGGTTTATTAAAATTATAAGCACTCTGCTGCGCAGAATGATCAGATGCTGCTGTAGAAAGCTGTAACCTTGGCGGTGTTTCAGCATTCCTCTGGAAGCTTTGCAGGCCTGAGAGTGATTCCATGGATGGTTTATGAAAATTATCCCCTATTTGCGACACACAGACACCAACTGATACTGGACTTCCTGCAGTCTTCATTACACTCGTAGCAGTGTCACTTCTCACAGCAAATGATGTAGGAGTTTTAAATTTAAATGTAACTTTTGTGGACAGTTTAAGGGCTTGGTCCTCCGTTAAACTGTCATGCAATGATGATAAAGCAGTTCTGGAACTGCTGACACCCTGAACAGAATACTTGTTCTCTGATGGTTTATTCTCGCTCACCAAAATCTTCGGACTAAAAGAACTAGAATAACTATCACCACCACTACATGAAGTTCTGACTGCAATTGTTTTAGTAAGTGAATCACCATTATAACATTCATCTGCCTCCTTGAAATCTGATCCTTCTGGTTCCAGTCTGCTTGAAATTTTATCAAACACACATTCATTCACCTCACTGAAATCTGCAACTTTCGGAGAAAGTCTTCTTGAAATTTCATCACTACTAGCGATGGAACTTGATACATGCATTTCTGACAACTTTTCTGACTGTTCCCTACTTGAAACAGGATTATCAGCTATATCACTGTTATCTGCAGAACTGAATGACATTTCAGCAGAGACTTTTCTTTTCAACAAAGCCCCCGTCAATTTTAGCTTAGCCTTCAATTTTTGGCGGAGACTTTTCAATTTTACAAATATGTTTGAATCAAACTCTGGACACTTTTCAAGAAGTTTCAGTGGAAGAGATTCAAAGCCTGAAACCAATTTTTCAAGTACCTGGATCTGGAAATTTCTTAAGACTTCTATGTTATCCTTCAGAATTACTGTTGATGTCTGAAAATAAGAAAAAATTAGCCATGAATACAGACATACAGTGACAACAGCTTAAAGGGCAATTAACAATTATTAAAACTGAAAATGAAGGTAATGTTACTTCCAAGATTTTTGCACACAATGTTGAAAGATTAAAAATAAATGTAAAACAGAATAAAATAATTCAGTGATTCCCAACCGTAAGTCACAACTCAAAATCAGAGCACACTCAATGATGTCCTGTGGTAGTGGCTTTTGTATGTCACTTTAATTAAAAATTAAAATATTTAAAATTTCATTACTAATTATGCACAAGAGATATTTTAATATTTTTTTCACACAGAGCTACTGAAATTACAATTTTCATAGACCTCATTAAACAAACACTCTGCATAAGTGAGAAGAATGAAAGAAAATTAGAATTGGAGATTTGTGTGATAGCGCAAGAAACACTATTCCAAACACAAACTGCTTCATATTCACTGCATTAATAAATTGTTTCTCTTTGCTTTTCGTGGTTTAGGTTTCTTTCCTGTGTCAGGAATTTGATGTAGGAAATTATGTTTAATCAGCCTTTCTGGAGGCAGTTCAGCTAAAGGACAGCCACATACAGAGCAAGGGATAGATAGATCTGTATTTCCCTGTGAGACCTCATATCTGAAGGAACCTGAATTTCAAACAGTCTGTCCCCTTCCCCCCCCCCCTACTGTTTGCCATGGACTAGCATATTATCATGAAATTAAAGATAGCTATATTCAGTAATCTTTTGAATAATTTTATGTACCACTTCAAACCATTCTTTCACTGAAGCAAATACAGTTACAGCATCTTATCTATGAGCTAAATTGCTCCCATGTTCAAATTGTAGTCATACACAGCTGCAGGTTTCACCTTTTCCTTATTAGCTTTATTCAGTTTCATTTCATCTTTTTGATATGCAGAATTCACAGTTCCTCTCCTTATGCTTCCAAGTATCTTGTTCCTACATGACCTGAATGCTGACCACAATCTTTTATCCATAGAGAGAGGGGGAACATTTTTGCTATTGGAATGTATATTGCATAGTATTGTACCTACACAGCCTGTGAACACAGATTTCAAGAATCAAACAAAATCTGGACAGTTACAAAACTGTCCATTCAGAGAACATGATCATGATTAAGATGGTCCTCTGGTTTGATAACTGCTGATGTTTTGTTCATATCCATATTTGCAGCACACTGGTCCATCAATCCCATGCCAAGCACCACATAAATAAGGAAACACCAAACACAATCCATGCTAGATTCACAAAGTTCATATAACTTATACCAAAGTTGGAAGCTTTTAGCAGTATGTGTTGCTTGAATGATAGATGACCCTACTGGAGAGTCAACAACTCATCCATTTCATTGTTTCAGTTTAGAAGGTACAAATTTTTAAAGTTATTATTCACATGCTGTGAATTTTGAAAAAATTGGGAGGGCCTTGAAATTAATTCTTTTTGCTGTCATAAAATAAACTTTTGTACTAGTTGCAGCCTTTCTAATTGTAAAGTTTCTGAAAAAATTAAGTGAACAACAGCCAGTTCTTTAAATGGTACAGCTCAAGTATCGGCTATTGTCCTATGCTATCAAAATACACAGAGCTAAAACCTCGTACATGTCATCCACTATGAGATTTTCCCACTTCCTAGTTCTTGAGTGAAATTTCACAATACCAGCACATTTTTAAATCTCCTGCTGTTCATATTTGTTCACTTCCTTTAATATTAGCTGCACAGCAGTTATGTCGTAAGTGTTTTAAATATGTGCAATACATGCACAGTAGATATGTGGAAATGTTTGGGTCAGTTATATCATATCATGTTTCCTGTACAGCAGAAAATTTACTGGCATCTTGCCACACAAACACATACCCAGCAGGCCCAGCAGTATAACACACGCAGTCACAGGAGCAAGACACAACACAAAGCACAATACACACACGAAAGTAGGAAGAGTACTCCGATACAAGAAGATAGGTGTGACTCGCGTATTGAGATACGACATAAGGATGACAAATCCTGAACAGTTTTAATATTTTTAATATTTAAAATTTATCAATATATATGACAAATATATATTTTAGTTATTTTAGTAAGACAGCAGGGCATGCAATGAAGTAGTTTGACATACATCGAAAAGAACCTGAAGATGGCACTTTTGTGCTGAAACATGCAGTGCAAGAGAGAAGAGTAAGGTGAATAAATGTATGCACTGTAAGACAGTTAGAATAAATCATGGACACACAAACTTCACCGATACCCCTCTCACTCATATGCCTTGTTCATTAACATGCATCACAATTCTCTGTTAATCGCAATCCTTTCCACTTTCATTGTCACTAATTTTGAGTAATCTTCATCAAAGTCACTATTACCATGCGAACTACATTTCCCCACATTATTACCGTCCAAAACTTCATTAGAAACTACAACAATTTCAAAATCTGTGCATGCATGGCTGGTTGAAGATGGCTGGCCAAGATGACTGATGCCACATATATATATTCAGTCATTGATAAACGTACAAAGACTGTCGAATCTGAAGTCTCATAGCAGTGAATATGAAGAAGACGGTCTTCTGGGTCATAACAACATCTAATTCGGAGACACCCTAAAATTCTGAATGAATATAATGCCTTCATATTCACAGATGAGGCAACATGGCATTACAGTCCAAACGACCATATTCTTCATAAACAAAGTGCTCACTTATATTATCACAGCCTGATGTAAACCCCATCTTAATAGCGTATTCTCTTCAACTATCGGGCAGAAAAGGAAGCTTGCAGTAGAACATACAGTATATGTGAAACCACAAAAAAAGTAACAAAGGTGAATGTGAAGCACTACACCAGGGAGACATATGGAGGAGTGGACGTACAGATCCATGTATTCTTGACCCTGGATTGTGTGAAACCGCAAACAGGGCATTTAAATACTCAATGCATGATGTACATAAAGGGTTAAGATTCTCCTGATTTTTTGGTAACTTCTTTGAAAGCACACGCTCAGGTGGAAGGGTTGCTCAGTCCTGCCTCTATGTCAGGTTAACCCATAACACAACTTTCCTTCATGGAAAGCCATCATGAAAAGTTACTGTATTCTGAGAGATGAAAACTTAAATAGGTAGGGGAAAGGTAAAAGAACTCCGTTGAGCACAAGCAACCATTTACATAAGAGAATTTTCAATTGCATGGGATAGTAGAGGTTGAGAAGTATAAAAGTTTATGCCTAATGATCAGACAATTCTGCTGGTAGCCAAAAACACAAAAGGCTGAGAATCTCTAAATCAAAATTCAATCATACTCATACAGAAAGACTTTGATAGGCTTATACCTCTATTGAAACTCTTCCAAAAGAAGGATGACTTTCCATATCACCTATCCATGACTTCAGTTCTTCTGTAATTCCCAATGGTCGCATGGTCACACTTTGCAAAATTGTATCAAAACCTATAAACACAAAAAGATCAATGGCAAATATTGTAAGAAAACAAATGACACAGTATTAACATAATACTGACATTCAGGAACATAGGATTGGGAAAGAGGCAGACAATGATCTTTTTAACAAAATATTACTTGGAGACACTAAGGGACACTATGAGAAAACCTCTGTAAATGTAATCAATAATGACTAAAATTCAAACTAGCTGCTTTCAGAATACCGTCCACTGTTCAGAGCAAATTCTTCACACAAAAATTTTAAGTGGAAATTGTACTGAAATACAGCATATGATTGTAGAAATTGCACATAAACAACAATCGGCTTAAAGTTGATTTATGCATGCATTAAACAAATTAGGCTAGAAAACTTTGATACTAAACTATATCCTAATTTCTGTAGCAATTATACCTCCAAAACAGGTGTCATGTTTATACCATGTCTCAGATCTCAGAACCTACCTGCCAGTGTTTTTTTTTTCTGTGGTGCTACAGCCCCAATTTTGGGCCTAGGCCTACCTCCATGAAACTCTGTTTCACTTCGGTTTACTAGATCTTACACATGTGGTAGGACTCCTTGGGCGAGTGATCAGCTCATCGCAAGGCCTCTACCTGTAGACAAACGCAGAAAAACGCACACAAACATCCATGCCCTGAGTGGGATTCCAACCCACGATCCCAGCTTCTGAGCGAGCGAAGACAGTGCACGCCTTAGACCGCTTGGCTACTGTGACCGGCACCTGCCAGTATATATGTAGAATCTCTTTCTGATATTTCTCTGGGGGACAATTAACTTCAATATCTAAATTGAGAGGGGGAAAAGAAAACAGGGATTATACTTTGTGCATGCATGCATGCACACACAAAGCAATACCAGATTTGGCTATACCTGTGCAAGATATGGAGTTATGTACTAGCAAGAATCTAATGAAATCAACTTTTATTTAAGTTATACTTCCACACATATAGTGCAGCAGGAGTGGTGAATCTTTTTTCTCTCAGCCTTAAAATAACTCAGTAGATTGTTACTCACCATCAGTGGTGAGAGAGCACAGACTTTCTTTGCTTGCTTCTTGTGTACTTGGATCTTTAAAACTTTCGTCTATTTCTTCTAATTTAAAGCTCTGATTAATGCATTTCTTCTCAGATTCTAATGTTTTTGCTTCCACAGGAGACTTCTTAGTATTGTGCAGAGATAATGAAAAAACAGGTGAAGGAGTCCGATCATCATCTTCATCCACAACAATTTGCTGGATTATGACAAAGAAAACTCTCATATAATGCTGGACAAAAAAAGTAAAGTTATCCCTCCAACAGGCCATGGAGGCCCATAGGGTTGTGAGATGTCAAGGCTACCACATTTTCTAGACAATCGGCTCATAGATGACAGTGAGGTTGTCAGCCTTACACAATGGCCGCCCTTTATCCCCAGGAACATTCCTGGTACTCATTTCTGTTAGAGGCTCAGTCGACCCCAGGGCCATTGTGTGGCTGGAAGGATTAGGTCAACTGAAAAAACCCAACGTTCTCATCAGGAATTGAACCTGTGACATTCTGGCTTCTAGCACAGTACCTCAAACAACTCTGGTACCACATACTGGATATCTTAATTAAATCCTATCAAGAGTTCGCAATTCAAACATCAATTTTACCTCTCTCTCTCTCTGTGCAAACAAAGGAATGGACCTACTATTATCTATCTGTTACAAATGTGAAATGAGATCTAACAGCAGAGTTTTTTTTAACTAATGTCAATTGTCTTTTGGTTTGCAATTTTTAATATTGTTTATGTGTTTTATATTACTGATATTTTTCTTTTGGTCTTATGCATCTTTTATAGTTATTCACCTTATAACAGTTGTTATATTATTATGGTAAATCACTGTGTATTTTTTATGTGACTTTGACATGTGATGTATTTGCTGTTATTTTTTGATATGTCCAATTGTATTCACTTCAGTTATGGATGAAAATAAAGTTGAAAGTATAAATCTTATGGTCACAGTTTGTGATCATTCCAGAAATTATAATGTAACACAGCGCACCAACAGTGGAATGTATATAAACCTGCTTACCTACAGTCTTTACACAGTGATAACTCTATAACTATCAGTCACATTAAAAACTCTCGTTTTAGATTTCAAGGAAACTTACTATATGCATTTATGTCAGGACTTCAATGCATACATATAAATAAAGCATGAATTATTAAACTACAAATATGAGATCTGAGGATTTTATGGCTCTGAATATGGCATTCATCAATTTCTCTTAAGTGATCCATGACATCTACAAGAAAGTTACTAACATTTTGGATGAACCTGCTATTTCTTCCTCCAGGATAGAAGAATTGGAGTTCTACCACCAAAATGAAGGCAGCTAATTCCTCAACACTAGTATCAGACAGTAGGCTTCTCTTATAAACAATGTGAATTCTGCATCATGAGAAAAAATTTTGGAAGTTATTTTGTACACTTGAGAAGCATGGTCTATTATTCTGGCATAAGAAAACAAAGGATTAAGAAAGATCTGCATCTAAGAAAGGCAAGTGATATGGTGGCTGGAGAATATTACAAAGTGACAAACTTTGTAACTTACAGAGCTCATTAGGTGTCAGAAAAGTGCAGTTCCAAAGTTGTCCACTGCTGCAAAGAACATGGCGCACATATACAAAGTCTATAGAGTATGATCATAATGATCTGAGAAATATAAATTAATACCTTAACATCAGCAAAAATATCTTCTGTATCTGAAGATGCTGATCTACAAGGATCATCTGCACTTTCTGCTGCGTCATTAAATTCTGTTAATAGAAAAAAAGCACAAAAATGAATATGCACAAAACAAAGACACTTTAAAACATGTCGTTTATTGGTATTAAAAAGTATGAGTCAGAGTAATTCTGAGTATATTTTTCATTAATTTTAATCCACACAAATTACAGGCTAACACAAAGACTGAGAAACTTGAAGAAACAGATGTCTCTCCCATTTCTTCCCAACCTCCTCTCCCCCTCAGGACTTACTAGTATCTCCTTCCTCAGCACTCTACTTATGCATGACAACTACAGTGATACCAGCTACAATTTCACAAAAAAGTATCACCTCTTCCAGATCCCTTACAAAGTAGTCCTACCATTGGATGAATGGACTGTTCTGAGAACTGAGACAGTGAAAAGGGCTAGGAAGAAGAAAGATGCTGGAGGGGACAAAATGTTGCAGTTTTCACTCAGATGAACTGTGACATAACATCATGGAGTCTAATCTAACCTCAGTGCTACTCATTTGCTGCATATTATGTCCCCTTTTATCAAACTGAGGGGGAAAAAAAGAGAGAAAAACCTAACAGTGAATCAGTCTCAGTTGCAGTACATATGCCTCTGATATCCCTCAAGAACCAAGGATTGAGGTTGTCTTTACCACTGTGTACTGGATCTTCAGAAAGTTCAAGATCTCAAAATTCACTTTCCTCTTCAAAATGTTTCAAGCTGTGTTCACCTTATATGCAGCCCACTTAAACTGTTATGGGAGATGACGTTAATAACACCATGTATGGTGGAAGAAAGGAGGAATGATTGATTATGCTGGTAGCTAAGTAGGCAAAATAAGATGTGTGGGAAGGTTGGGATGTATAGAAGGCATTGTGTCGCATCCATTTCTTCAGTTCAGAAAACAATTCTCTTATAATTTTTTTCTCTGTGGCTCTACCGCCCTTTGGACCTGGGCCGCTTTTTCAGTTTCTTAATCCTATACACAGTTGGTACGACTCCTTGGACAGGGGATCAGCCCATTGTGCAAGGGTGCTACCTACACACAGAATAAATGCACAGACATCCATGCCTCAAGTGGGATTAGAAACCATGATCCCAGTGTTCAAGTGGGTGAAGACAGTTGTCTTAGACCGCGCAGCCACTATGATCAGCCATTCTCTTAATTATAATACACAATTCATACTGCAGAGCATGTTTCTCAGAGGTGTAAACTATAGGCCAGCATTATGCCATAAAAATAATTCCTGGAAGCTTAAAAATTGCCAATATATAATACACAAACCATTATCTCCATTATCACTTCTTAGATCTATTCCATTTGCTTTACAGATCTCTTCAGCAGTCCTGTCACCTTCCTTAGGAATTTTACACCATCCACGGGTAATGAAATAATCATCAGTATCCAAATCATCATCAGGTAAATTACAAGATGAACGTTTCTCTGAAAATATAATCATGGTAGCATGGTAAGTAGTTTAAAAAATCATCAGATTTTCTTAAAACACTAAAATGCTTGTCCTGAGAATCGTTACTTAACAAGCACAATCCATCTTCATAGGATTCAGAAATACACACATACTAAGACTTAAAACATCAAATATATATTTTATGGAAAACGCTTCATGAATACCGGGTTTATCATCAAAACTGGGATTATAAATTACAGACTGATGAAATTACTATTTGGAACATTTTATATCTACTGAAAATTGATGATATTAGGGAGGCAAGAATATTTGATATGTGATTTTATTATATGGCCAGTAAACACAAAAATCCCCAAATAAATAAACTAATATTACTGTATAAACAAACCTTAATACTGTAATAGTGGTTTATTTACTTCAAGATTGCTATGTTAATGACCATATAATAATACCACATAGTGATACACAACAGGAATCATAAAATAAAGAATATTTGAGGTCAGGTCTGAACTTTATTCGTGACACTAGATATATATGAAATATGACATGACAAATCAATTCTGTACAGAATATTTCCTACTGTGCCCACATAGTGGTAACTCAAAGACATAAGATACTGAATGGTTTCGTTAATGAGTGAAATAATATTGTTATGATAGTACAAAAATTTACAATGTGTGTAATTTTGTCAAGTGTAAGATAATAAAATGTCAAGATGGAAGAGTATTTACTATAAAGGATGAACAAGATAACCATGCAAAATTTAAATGTCTTTATTTAGTGTGCAGTTATTCTATATAATCATTGTTACTTGAACACAACTAAAAATACAAAATTTGTCCCAACGTTGATCTGCATGTGTCTCCTGCAATTTAATTTAAAACAGTTCTTCTAGCACTGAATAATATTAACATGTTGTTTTCCAAACTTGTAGGAGAGAAGGTTTCAAATTTAATCAAATGACTGAAGTTTTAGAATATTTCCATTTATTTGTTAGGGGTCAGTGGAGCTCCTTGTTATAAATGTTTTCAACTTATCACACTGACATTACCTTTACGAGTAGGTGTTACATCAAAATCATCATCTGAGAACTCTTCTTTGATATCTTCTACAGTGCTATCTAAAAATGTGTGAAGTTTTCCTTTCTCTTCAAGAATGCTACAAATAAAAGAGACAAAAATTAAAAATATTTTACATTTTGTGAGTCATACCATGAGTCAGACCAGTGTTTTCTTGGCACAATCAAACATCACAGTTCTGTGGAAACAAATCCTGTTTTATATTTTGGAGGTCCCACATTCAAAACAGGCCCATGTATCTACTATAATGACTGAGGTTTTTCTTAGTTTTCTTCAGTCCTCTCAGGCAGATATGACAGTATGTATGATTAGGCCATGCATCTTTGTTCAACATCTTTTCCAAGTCATTAAACATCATACACAAGAGTTTTAGATTTACATATACTATGTGGGAATAAACAAATAACCAATATGGAGGTTACAAAATTCCTAGGTTTGGTTATTGATCATAAATTGTCTTGGCAAACCCATATTGACCAAATGATACCCAAATTAAATAAGGCATCCTATATAATTAGAGTATTAAAACCTCTTTTATCCTTGGAGTGCCTAAAAACTGTTTATTTCTCCCTAGTTCATTCAATAATATCTTACGGCATAATATTTTGGGGGAGTTCAGCTCATGCAAAAATCATATTTCAAATACAGAAAAGAATAATAAGAATTATTACCAATTCGCGTAATATAGATTCGTGCCGTAATTTATTTAAGGAGTTACATATTCTGCCACTTCAGTCTCAATATATATTTTCTTTACTTATGCTGGTTGTCAAGAATAGAGATTGCTATATAACAAACTCTGATGTCCACACACGTAATACCAGATTTAATCATGACTTGCATCTTCCAGTGGTAAACTTAACGATATTTCAGAAAGGTGGATGGTATTCTGGTATCAAACTTTATAACCACCTCCCTCCAGAGCTTAAACAATTATCTTATGACATTCCTGGATTTAAAGTGGCGTTAAAGAAGTTTCTTATCACCAGTTCTTTTTATACTGTTGAAGAATACTACTGCTGGAAGAAAGATTGACACCTCATGTATATATTTTAATCATGTATGTAATTTTAAATGTTATTTTGATTTATGAATGTATTACGGTACAGTAGTTTTGTTGTATTTTGACGATGATGAATGTCTGATTATGTATGTATATTTATATGTTATATTGTACTATTGACTTGTTCTGTATCTGAGGCAGATGCCTCTATGGATTTTTTTGGAACTGTAAATAAATGACCTTTCAATATTATACAGCATGGGCTATTGACAGCATCGTTAAATGAATTACCTCAACGATGATGACAAAACACAGGATTCAGCATAACAAACAAATGCTGAAAACAAAATTTTCCTATTTCTTTGAGGCACAAATGTAATAGTAGAATGAAGGCTCTCATATTTCTAACGGGCTGTATACTGAGTATAACGAGTTCCATGAAACAAGAACCAGGATCATAACTTATCCCCTTTATGTAAAAATCTCAATACCATCTGAATGAAACATAAACATAATTGCAAACCTGCAAGCATTTACCAAGATTCGATTAACTTCCACTTTGTGAAATGAAAAAGGGAATTAAATAATGTGCGTATAAACTTACACAATATCATCTATTTTCCTTTCGTTTTGTTTCGCTGTTAATGTATAACTTTCTTGTGAGGAAGCTGTACTTGATTTGCAGAAGAAATTTGTTAGTTTAGGCTGTGCCTTCTTTCTGAAAGATGCACTCAAACTTACAGACTTCTTCGGTTGAGAAAAAGAATTCATTATATAGTACGAATATCATAATAATATAAATTACTATCACAAATGTGACACTAATTATTTATTTTCTTTCGCGTATCACGTTAAACCGCCCTTAATCCAAAGTCCGCGAAATAATATATTCAACATTGGTCACGTTTATCGAATCTCGAAATATGTGGTTCTCAATCTTCTCAATCGAATGAAAACTGTCGAATAATTCCATGGTGGTAATCTGTGTTCACTACAGCACACTACCGCTCACTACTGTAGTAACCCGTGGACTCCGCGGTGTTCCGTGGTCCGTGCCGTTTCGTGAGGTGAGCTAGCGTAAGCAAGGGCAGTGAGCGCAGTGAGCTAGAGCGGCAGGAGCCGTGAGACGTTTGGTGTGGGTGGTGGGTGTGGTGGAATAGTAGTCAAGTGTTTAAGAACAGAAAATGGGTTTAAAGAAGTTCCAAATTGTTTTTGATAATCCTTGGTCAACATATTATAGCGGTCAGCCAGTGACAGGCCGATTGCTTTTGACTGTCGACTCTCCCAAAAAGATCCGGGGTATGTTAAACTTCTGAAGTACTGTCACAGCAAATCAGCCTAAGTACTGAAATTAGCGATCAGGCAATTAATTTAGATTTTAAAATACGGTGGCAAGCCTAATGGTGCTTTTTAAGGTTTTAAAAATTAGTTGATGTTGGCAGGAAGAGCGAACTTGGCTCGTAGTGCTTCAGCAGATTAGAATTGCGCACCAATTTAATTGCGTTGAATTTCCAGAAGGCACACGATTTTTATCTGTGCAAGTGAAGGTGTTTTTTTTTAATTGCTTGGTTAGCAGGACAGGAATAATGCACCGTTTTCTCTCCGGGGAAGAGGCATTTCTGAAATCCTGCCTCCATTCTCATCTCTGTTTGTCGGAATTAAAATGTTTGTTGCAAGATCCATTAACAGTTCATTTTGAAGCACTCTCTTACCTGATATTGGAAGTTCACAGTGTACAGAAGTCTACTGTGGCTGAATAATGTGGTGGCTGTACATAGTGGCAGTGTGTAGCATTTAGTAACTGAGGCAATGGCTTTGTGGTATGTAACATCTTTAACTGATATCCAGAATATAGACTGATTTTGGTGGTTATGTATGTAGCATTCATGATTCTTACTGGGAGATGCTGGGTCCATCCTGGAAAATACAGGATAATAGTTGCATCACAAGTAACAACAGAACTGTATTTACATGTTAGTTGTAAAGGGTTCTGGAGATGGTATATTACACTTGCGATTACTGAGTTTCTGGACTTTGCCCAGCATTGAGTATTCTGAAAGAACAGTGTTTTAGAAATTTGACGTAACTGGTTGAACTGTCCAGTGATTAAGATTAGTTTTTCTAGTGGATCCAACTAAGTAGGTACCTTGTCACCCTTTCATCCAAGGATTGAAACAAGTCTAATATCCAAAACTAGTTTCAGAATATCAGACAGTGGATAGTGTCCAGAAATTAAATAATTCCAAGCATACAGACATGATTAGAATCAATGTTTATAGTTGTCAATGACAAGCAGGAATTTTATGTGGCCTTTATTTATATTTGAAATTTAAATGCTGTTCTTTCTTCCAGGTATTGTTATACATTTTAAAGGGGAAGCAGCAGTTGAATGGAGTGAAACTGAAACTAGAAGCAAACCCAGCACTCCTGCTGGCACTGGGAATGAAGGCGGTGCTACCACTGCTTCATCTGGCTCTGTTCAGAATGTCACTGTGAATTACTCGTCACATGAACAGTACTTTGAAAACAAATTTAATTTGCTTGGTGGGAGCAGTAAGTACTATTTGTTATTTAATCACTGTATACTGTTTGCATGAGGTATGTAAAATAAAACATAGTGAACTGTAATGACGAGCCATCTGTCTGCATGTTTCATTTATGATGCTACTAAATGGATTGTGATGAAGGTTGTAAAGTATTTTCATTAATTTTTTTTTTTTTTTGCCAAAAACCTACTTTATGAAACTGGATGGATCTTATATTCTTAGGTGTTTTATATTTGAAGTAATATGGTATATGACAACAGAAGAATGTAGTTTACAGTAGGCTGTGGAGGACAGTCATTTGTTACTCATTTGTGGTTATAGTTATAATACATAGAATTTAATATGTTTCCTTTAAATCTGAATATAATATCAACTTTTTTGTTACACTTTTCTAATGTGATGTACTGCAGAGCAGAATTTTGTATAGCATTGACTTCAGCATGTTACAGCACAAAAAGAAAATCATTGAAATCAAGTCACATTGATCTTGTATAAAAGATTAAAGTCTTCTGTTTCTTCCTCACAAGGCTTGGGTACTATACTCCCTATTTCAGAGCGAAATATACCATTGGTCTTTCCAGCTTTTTCTAGGCTTTTCGNTCATTATTCTAAGGCCACGCCATAGCTTAAGCGATTAGTCGCTGGCTTCCCACCACTGTGATCTGAGCAAGTGGGATTTGTGATGGACAAAATGGCGCTGGGGCAGGTTTCCTCCGAGTACTTCGGTTTCCCCTGCCAATGTTCATTCCATCAAATTCTCCACAAATAAGAATATCTAACCAATTCTAAATTGTAATCAGCAGTAAAATTGTAACTATTGTAATTTTAATCTACTTATATATCAAATTGTTAATATTCAGAATTAACTTGACTTGTCATATATCATGTACAATGATCTACAGTGACGAAATCAATCAATCAATCAATCAATCATCAGGTAAATACACTTACAACTGCTTGGCTATTAAGTGTATCTACCTGATGATGGCTTCTTGAAAGCTGAAACATGTAGTAAAGTGCTGCTTGATACTACAAACATATATTATTAATTGCTGTGTTGTGACTGCTCCCAATAAAGAAATATGTAATACACAACAGGAGGCATTCACTGAAAACTAGATATATGTTGGGTAACGTAATGGCTGTGTACCTCCTTTGATACCAGGATATATTTTTCAATGTACCAGCCCCGTAGGAATGGTAGTNAAGGCTTGGGTACTATACTCCCTATTTCAGAGCGAAATATACCATTGGTCTTTCCAGCTTTTTCTAGGCTTTTCGAATTCATTCCATCAAATTCTCCACAAATAAGAATATCTAACTAATTCTAAATTGTAATCAACTGTAAACAATTGTAACTATTGCAATTTTAATCTTACTCATATATTAAATTGTTACTATTCAGAATTAACTTGACTTTTCCTATATCATGTACAATGATCTACAGTGACGAAATAAATCAATCAAACGATCCTTTTTGTGCTTGAGTCCATATTCTCACTCTTAGTCATTATTTTGAACAGTGCAGCATGTGTCTGCTAATGAAGTTAAGTACAAGCAACAAGATATTTCTTTATTGAAAGCCGTCACAACACAACAATTAATAATATATGTTTGTAGTATCAAGTAGTACTTTACTACATGTTTTGGCTT